AAAGCAGGCTCCCAGGAACTGCCTTTTTAATGAATTAATAAAGCGGTTTTCTCAGCTGGGAGGAAGAGAGACAACATGAGAGGAAATAGAACTCCTTTTACTTTTGCCAACAATCTCCCCTTCCCCCACCAATGATGGCCAACTCATATTTCTATAGGAAAATGACTATATACATAAAAAATATTCATTTAATTCTGATATACACTCAACAAAATTATTATTTTAAGATAACTGTTTCCTATTTAAATAATTGGAAAAAATGAAAAATATTTTTTTCTGGTTCTGCTGAAGAATCAGACAGGAAATGCATAGTTTCCCTTGGAGTCCTGAGTTTTTCTTAAGTATTTCCCATAAGTTCTTCTCGAAGAGTGGGCTCAGACAGCTAAGTGAAAGGGAAAGCATGATGGGATCAAGATCCTTTTGGAAAGACGGATTAGTGAAGAAACAAGAGAAAAAGAAACAGGAAACAACCTTTAGGGCAGTGGTTGTCAAAGCTGGAAACAGAATCTCTGAGAACTTGTTAGAAATAAAAATGACCAGGCCCCACCCCAGTCCTGCAGAATCAGAAACTGGATGGGGCCCAGCAATCTGTTTTAACATGCCTTTGGGATTCTGATGCACACTTCAGTTTAGAGAACCCTTATTTCACCAGGACTGTTTTTCACCAGGACTATTTTACAGGACTGATGTATCAGAAAACTTTTAAGTTTTAAAAATTAAAAATACTTCTTTAACAAACTTAGGGAAATATCCCTAGATACTCAATTGTATGTGAAAAATCAAATAATCTTAAGTTTTCCTTGAACTAGTTCTTTGTTTTCTGTATGGTTTACCCCGTTTTTGCGCTTAAAAAAATTCTAAGTGGAAACAAGGCTAAACTTCAGCCCTCTGGCAGACATGGCCGGTTGCCTTTTCATGTGGTACAGATCTTGGGTCAGTCTCATCTCTGCTAGACCAAGAACCCAACTTCAACACTCTAGTTAGAAATAAACAGGCCCCAGAAAAAACAAAATCGTAAGGGGCCTGACTGATAACTGCAATGTTAACTTTTAAATTTACTATAAGAAATGTGATTGCTAAAAAGACACGATTTCTTTCCCTTGTAGGACTTAGGAACCCAGAAAGTTAAAATGACTTTTAGCAGATTGAAAATCCACTGCTTCAGAGCAGAGTTGGGTGTTCCCACTTGCTAGTGAAAAACAGTTTGAAAGCCCGGGGCACACAGGTCAACTTCTTGTGTCCAAATTTTTACATGGGTGGTTTTTAAGCAGATTCCATGTAGCCTACTATTCTTCCATTTGGAAAAGGCCTCAGGCATGCTATAAAATAACTCTTCAGGCTTGGGAGCACTCTGGGTCCTTAATTCACCTAATTTATCAACAGGCATTTACCAAGTTCTTATGCGCCAGGCTCTGTGCAAAGTACTGGGAATAAAAAAACATTAAGCCAATCCCACTTGTCCAGAAATTTAGTTTAGGAAAGACGGAGGAAGTGGCAAAATAAAGATAATTATAAAATATAATTAATGAAATAACACAGTCATGCATTGAGTATTACGGGGGAAATCTCTGGTACAATATTTAGAAGGGGGAGTGGATTTGAAAAGTATTTTCCAAGGAGACAGAGAACTCTGGATTGAGGCTGGAAGATGAGGAAAGTCACAATTCATTTACAAAGCATCTTATATGGTCACTATATAATCCACTTAATAGTAATGTCAGCTTGTATTTCATAAAATGAAAATTTCTGATTTTAACCTAAATTCTGTGCTAGGGCAATAAATCTATGCAGTTACAGATCAAACCTAGGAGAAAGAAGTATCTAATTTGGTGGAAAAGCCAAAGTATGGGTTTTTTAGAGAAAAAGGGTTTTGCTTACCTCTGACAGATACACAAATAGTAACAGTGTTTGTTAAATAAAGGTCCTAGGATTGGTCTTTGGCCATTTGGCACAGTTTTTATTCGAAAGTAATTTATTTTAACAAAGGTTAATATCCTCAGGCTACTCTCACTGTGAACTTATCTCAGTAACTATATTGCAAGTTTTTAAAAGGAGTTTGTTTCGTCAAGGAGAAACAAAAGCAGGCAATTTTTCATTGCTTTTCAGTTGACTACTTCTCAGGGAAGCGAAAAGGGCCAAGACAAAGCAAAGCAGCAAGTCCTAGTAAATAATAAGTTATAGCAAAAACAAAGTACCTAGGTTCTTTAGCTTCCTTCTAAATCTTTTGCTAGGAGGTTTGAATCACAACACTTCTATGGTAAATGGACTACAGGGAAACATAGTCGGAAACAACTTCTATGAAATGGACTACGGGGAAACATAGTCGGAAACAAACGTAAACCGCCTTTGGTTTCTCATTTCTAAAGTTAAAACAGATGCGGTGCGCACACTCCGGGCCCTGGCATCGCCTCAGTTCAGAAGTTACCACGTGGACCTAAGGTGACTCTGCACGCTGCCTCCCCGAACCCCTTTTACTGCGCTGAGCAGCCCGAATGCACCACTGGAGGCCCTGCCGTCGTGCTCCTTACAGCTCTAGCCAGCGTCCGCCGCACGGGGTCCCCCCGACCCGCTCCACCTCCCACCCCATAACAGAAGGAAGGAGCGTTGCTCCCGCGGGCCTGTGCGGAGACGCATGCGCACTGGTGCGCCAGCCCTACTAACGGGCGCGCGCCGCAGGGTCCGGCGTTCCCACCGGCCTTCGTCCCACGGGACCCGCTGACAGGTTCCTACCTACAGTAATCGCTGAGCCCCCGCCCTGAAATCCCAGTCGGGCGCGCACCGCTCGCGCGTCCTTCCGGCGCCGGCCGCGGCGGGTCGCTCGAGGCGAGTTCAGCAGGCTGCCCGAGCCGAGCTTGCGCTCTCATTGGCCGACGCCCGCCCGGCCTTCTTCCCTGAGCGCCTGCGCGCAGCGGGCTGTTGGCGGGGGGGAAACCCTAGCAGACCGCAGGCCTTCGCTGACAACAGTGCCCAGGTGACTCTGTTGCCGTTCCCGCTCTCCTGAATCCCTTGCCTCTCCGCCTTCTTACCGACCGGCCGGGAGGGGACTCCGCGGAAAGCTTTGAGAGACGCGAATGAGCCCTCCGAGACGTAACGGGCTAGGCCGGCGGGCGTCGGAAAATGAGTAGACGGCAGGTGGCGGGGCCTGACCGGAACGGGGTGGACAGGATGGGGAGCAGAGAATAACCGAGCACGCGCTGGAGCCTGGAGAAGGGGGGGGGGGACGCGCGCGCATGCGCCGGGCCGCCTAGCGCCCTCCCGCCCCGTCCCCCACCCGGGCGCCTAGGGAGGGGGCGAGGCTGGCCTTGCGAATCGCCCGTCGCGTTTTCGGAGCTGAAGCCTTAGGTCGGCTCTCTTGAAAGCTTTTTTAAAGGTCTTACTTAAGTATGCCCTTTGGCATACCTTACAGAAACATAGCTAATTCCTAAACATTCTCTCCAGTTTACATTTTTTTACGTTGGTCCCTTCGAGATCTTGCTATTTTCAAACCTTAAGCATTCCCTCCGCCCCCCTTTTTAGAACTATTCATCTTGGGATTTAGCTTTACTTTGGTCGGTGGCTTTATCCCCAGGAATGGCCACAAGTGAAATTAGGCAAATGCAACAACCGCTCTTTTCTCTACCTTTTGGCACTGTTCAGAGAGGGAAAAAAGAAAGACGCCTCCATTTGTTTCATCCCTAACGGCTCTTGCTCTGGACAATTTGGTCACTTGTGATCCATTCCATCCAACCCCATTTTTTTTTTTTTTCTAAAAGCTTAATTTATCATCTTGCGCATTTTAATCTTTTCAGATGCATCCTGGTCACCGACATCTAAATGGTCTATTTCTCTCTTTTCTTTGGTTTTCAGTTTCCATCAATAGGAAGGACTAATTTATTAAGTGTCCACTTACCATTCTCTTCGCTTGTCCTCAAAGGTGCCTCAAACTGAGGGTATTAATCTCCAAACCTATTTTCTAGGTGCCGCATTTAAGTAATGGCAGTTACTCTCACCGGGTTTCTTCATACTAGAGAAGTGAGCATTTTTCTTTACCTCTCCTCTGCCTCACTTCCATACCCTGTTCTAGTATTCATTTCACATTTCATCATATGATAATAGGCATTTTGTTAAGTGCTAGGATTTAACTTTTTTTAGTCTTGGGAGGGTATAGACTTACTCCAGTGATGCTATTACCATATTTTGAAAACTTTAGGAAATACCTTCAATCCCCTTAGTCACGACTTACTCTTTATTACTCACTTTATTCAGACTTTCTAAGTGATTTTAAATTCTGTTTTTAAGTGTTAAATCAAGGATTGAGAATGATCACCTTGGAGAATGTGCTACAGATCCAGAGGACTTGAGAAAAGGAGTTTAAACTTCGTAAGGTGATTAGGAACAGTCCTTAGGGTATTTATGTTGTGATATATGTTTAAAATACTGTTTTCTTTAGTCATATCTAATGCAACAAATTACAAATTTTCAAAATACAAACACTGTAAGATACACTAAAGGAAAATTATTCAGATAGTAATTTAAAAATTTTTTGGTATAACTCAGAACGTGCCCTAGAATTTTAGCATTTGAATCATTTTTCATTAGTATTTACTATTCTAGATTACAGATGTAGAATTGGATTTAGACTCTGTACTGTTTATAAACTTATTTCATGTCCCTGAAGATTTATCTGGAAACTCCAGTTACCTGCTCACCTTTCCCTTTTATGTCTCCCTCTTATTAAATGCTGCACAATATTCAGTTTGTGATCTCCCACTGTTTAGATTTCAGAATAAATAGGGGTTTACCTAAGTTAAAGAGAAGTCAAAAAGTAATTTGAAAAATCACTTTTCAGTGTGGATAAAACCATCTTGCATACTTCAAACTTTTAGTGTTTGGAAACTATTAACTTACTATATAAACCAGTAAAGGGCAAAAGGTGAATATAGTGAAAACTGTATTTTTACTGCCTTTTATTTTCAACAATGATTACTTGAACTTAAAAAAAAAAAAAAAGCCTTTATTAACTAATGGTTACTGAAAAGCCAGACCTTTCCAGCCCACTTCATATTCTCTTTCAACCATTTCAGGGCAGAACAGTGTTCCAAACTATAAACCTGTTCCTTATTAACATTGACGGTCATGTGCTTAATGAAGAGCTTTGGATCTGATATACGAGCAGCCATAATTAATCTTTCCACTGCAGCTTGATATTCATCCTTGCTCCGAGATTTGTTTTCTTCACATCTACAAAGTGAACAACTCACAAAGTCAGAAACTATAGTTTCTTTAAAAACAGTCATCTACATTTACTGGTACTAAGCTATGAGTCTTTTTTACTGTATTCTTCTGATAGTGGCTTTCAAATTTTTCAAACAAGACACATAGTAAAAGACATTTTATATTGTGACCCGGTATATACCCTCAGACATAAAGATGGAAGTTTCACAAGACTTACCCTTAAGGCAATGTACTCTATTTTCTACTGTCTCCTATTTTTTGGAAAGATTTTATTTATTTGACAGAGAAAGACAGAGAGAGAGAGAGCACATGCAGGGGAAGAAGGAGGCAGAGGGAGAGGCAGGCTCCCCGCTGAGCAAGGAGCCTGATGTGGGACTCAACCCCAGAACCCTGGGATCATGACCTGAGCTGAAAGCAGATGCTTAACCAACTGAGCCACCCAGCCTCCCTTTTATTTTTTTAATAATGTGGTTGCAGGGCTGCCTGGGTGGCACAGTTTATTAAGCTTCTGACTCTTGATTTCAGGCCTTGATATCAGGGTCGTGAAATCGGGCCCTGCCCTGAGTCTCACTCTGCACTCAGCAGAGTCTGCTTACGACTTTCTCTCCTTCTCCCTTTGCCCCTCCCCCATATGTGCTTTCTCTCAAATAAATAAATCTTTAAAAAAAATAATGTGGTTACAATACCCAAAATTGATTTTACGACACAAATGCGCTACAACCCACAGTTTGAAAAACACTTACCTAGAACACAGCTAATAACCTCTCTGTATTGTGAAAGTTGATAATGGCATAACTATTCACTGTAATGTGTACAGAAATAGTGAATTTAATGAAACTTGGAGTTATTAGCAGTCACGTATTTTACCTTGATATTAGCTATTTTTAATTCTAAGCATATACTTAACAGGTAGCTAACATTTGGTAACAGAATTGAATTGTAGCTATATGTCTTTACTAAATTTCCAGTTACTTTTTTTAGTCTTGATTTAAGAGTCTTCACTAAGTGCTACAGTTTACTTTTCTAATAATTTTTCTACCAGTCTCCAAATTTCATAAAATTTTTATGACTGTTTACCTTAAGAGATAGGGAGTGGGAAGTGTTTAAAATAGAGATGTGGCTGTTACATTAGGCATCAGTTGTTTGTGTTCACTGTATCCTGCTCTTGGCACCTGCAGGGCCCAACAACAAGGTGCAAAAATGAGTCTCCTTGCATTAACACCTTAGTGTGGGGCACAGAATGGTGCGATTGAGGACTTCGGCTTGGTCACCAAGTTGAACCAGTCATCACAGAGAGGAAGGATTGGCAGGTGCCTTCTACTACTGAATGTAGTAAGTGTCCTAAGTGGTGCCTAAAATCTGGTGGACTGGGCATATGCCAACTAGATGTAGCTTTTGAAAGCCTAAAGATGAAGAACATTCTCCCTGAGAGAGGTTAGTGTAACAAGGCAGGTCTCAGGATGATAATAATAGAGAAAATAATATTGTTTGGGACAAAGTTAAAGATTTAGGCATGTCACTAGTTTCGCACTGAGGTCACAAATACCCCCCAAATTCAACAACGAATAAAAAGGCTGCATATATGTGGGGAATGGAAAGCTATGAGAAAATCAAACCCTCAAGTTGGGGAGCCCAAATGCCTCATGCCACTTATAGTGCACAGAAGTACTGAAGGAGGCCCTCAGAAAAAAAAAAAAGCTAAAACCAAAAAAAAAAAAAAAAAAAGCTAATTGTAGTGGGTTTTTAAAAAAATGTGGACCTAAAATTATTTTCTCGGGTGCCTGGGTGGCACAGTCAGCTAAGTGTCCAACTCTTGATCTTAGCTCAGGTCAATCTCAGCGTTGTGAGTTCAAGCCCAATGTGGAACCTACTTTAAAAAAATTATTTTCTAATTTTCTTCCCCTTAAGTATGGCCTAGGTTAAATGACTCACTATCACACATGGAATTAAGCAAAAATGACAGTGTGTACCTTTGGACACTGGTTATTAGATGATAATTCTTTCTGGGTCTCTGCATTTCTATAAGTTTTGAGAGCAGAGACACTGACTACCTCTTGTTCTGCATTTCAAGGATGTTTATATAGTGGACCACCTTGAAAGACAAAGACAGGGTCTTCTAGAGCTAAGGGTAGGTTTGCTTATAGCCTCACAAGATAGAGATGATATTTCTCTGAAGAGCAACAGGGCAGGCATGCTTATCATTCATTATAATAGGTCCCCTGAAGTTCAAGATTACTCTTCTGTAACAGAACCCAGTGCATGTACAGGTATCCAGCTGGGCCCATCTGTGGGACTCGGGGAGGAAAACAGGAGATACATATATGCAGATAATCATATTGCTTGCTGTACCATAAGTAATAACATCTTCTGTCTCCAATGCAAGAATCTTGTGTCTTACACTAGGATCTAGGTGACTACGTCAGACTGACTGGTAGCCTGCAAATAGAGCCTTCACAGTTCTTGATAAAGGTCATAAAAGGGACTGTAGCTTCCTCCTTGCCTTTTCTCTCTTAGATCACTCTTTCAGATAAGTTAGCTGTCATGAAGACACTCAAGGAACTGAAGATTCTTGGCAATGACATGTTAATGAGCCATCTAGAAAATGGATCCTCCAGCCTCAGTCAAGCCATCAAGTAGGTGACCTCAACTCCTGACCCACTACCTCAGAGATCCTAGGCCATAACCATACTGCTAAGCTATTCCAAAATTCCTGACCCACAGAAACTAAAATAATATTTGCTGTTTTAAGCTGTTTGGGGATAATTTATATGCAGTAATAGATAATTGATAGGATATCCAAACTGATAATGTGGTTTATACCACCAGTAAACTGAAGAAATCTTCTTGTCAAAAAACTCTAAAACATGAGATCTTTATTAGTTTCCTGGATAGGCCGATAAGGAATTGGAGTGGTGTAAGCCCAAATTCTGGGACTTTACACAAAATTTGAAGAAATACCAGTCTTTCCAACAGCTACATTATAATATTATGCATTTATAACAACACTTCAAAATCTAGAAACTAGGCTGATGGCTTTATGTTCGACATAATTCTTTACTGAATCAAATAAACCATTGCATATTTCCCTTTTAGACTTGGTTTTTAGATCTTCTGTGTTGACCAGAAAGATAAGTAACTTTTAGATACCTATCTAAAAATCTATCTGTACACAAGAAAGACTGATTCTTAAAAAAGATCCATTTCTCTGTCCCTAGACAGCATCTTTGAAGTTGCTAATGTGTTTATTAAATGTTACCAGCTTGTTTGGTTTTATGTCTCCAACAGGTCAAATCCTTTTTCAATTTAAATGTTACCAAAGTTTATAAATACATACATATACTAATATATACATACATATACTAATACATATACTAATATACTAATATTACATGTAATAAATATGTAAATATGTATATATACATACATACACATCTATGTATATGTGTTTGTGTGTATATAAAATATGCATGAAAATATATATAATGTTTATTATAAAATATATACAAAAATATTTATATCCTAGGACAGGTGTAGGGAGCCATGAGCTGCTTTTAGCATGCAAACAGAAGTTATATCAACTAACCTTTTCAAAACTATCTGCAGTATCTGTGTAGAAGTTCCAGGACTCTGAATACTACTAGCATTAGATACCAGGAAGATTTCAATAGCTAAAAGCATTTCAATCTCAGATAAATAGGAAGGAATCAGTAGAAGTTTTCTGTATAAATTTCCCTCCAATGGTGGGTAGCAACCCAATGAAAGAGCACCTGGAAATCAAAAAATAGATCAAACTTTACTAAAACCCCAAAAGGTGAAAAGCTAGACTTCCACAGGTGACTAATTACTTACCTTACAGAATGATTCTTCACATCAGGCTTATTATACAAATTACATGGTTTATTATACAAATTATATATCCTAGTACATTTGATATTATTCTTTGTAAAATGCTTCTGAAACATTAAGTATGAAGTAAGAAATTTATTTTAAAAACTCTGATCTAAATATTAAATTTTTGAACCTCATTGTGGCAACTGCCCATTTATTTCAAACCATAATCAACACAATTTCAGAGTAACTAAAAAACCAGAATAGCAACTCGGGTTTTGTTTTAATGGGATCTGCTCTAATGGCAACTACATATATTTGTAATTATTGACTATCCTGAATTATGAATCCAAAATGTTGAAAAAAGTAGAAATTATAATTTGAAGATTTTTCTGTCACACAGATATACTATTTTTGAGCACTTATTTATACTGCTGTTACAGTTTATGTAATAAACATTTACTGTCTATTCTATGTGTGACATTGAGCTAAGCACTATTTAGATATAAAAATAAGTAAAATATATATCTTTCCTGTAGGTGCTCAGTGTGTTGTAGGTGCTCACCAATTCATGTTCTAAAAATTTTACTTTTCAAGAAAAGAGATTTAATTTTTAAACTGTTTAGGTGCTTCTTACAAATGATATATAGGGAAATCCCCTTAAGTCCTAAGACATCCAAACTGTATATAGATAGTATTATACTGTTATGTTTTACTGAAACCAATTTAAATCTGTATGTAAAAGTTGTTTAAAATATTTTGTTAGAATAAGTTCTTTTTAAGAAATCTAATGTGGGGGGGTTCCTGGGTGGCTCAGTCATTAAGTGGCTGCCTTCAGCTCAGGTCATGATCCCAAGGCCAGGGATCCAGCCCCACATCAGGCTTACTGCTCAGGGGGGAGCCTCCTTCTCCCTCTCCCACTCCCCCTGTGTTCCCTCTCTCACCATCCACCATCTCTCTCTCTGTCAAATAAATAAATAAAATCTTAAAAAAAAAAAAAGAAATCTAATGTGGATGATGATGGTTCATCTTTCAGAACTTACTGTGTGCCAGGAACCTGTGTTAAACACATAGATTTTACCTAATTTTAACTGACAGTTTACTACCTTTGAAATTAGGTATAGTGACTCCCACGTGATAGGTAAAGGGGCTTTGGGAATCACCCCAGCCTTCTGACTCCACAGATTTTGGATTCCTAAATACTAGGTAGTCCCAGCTCCCTAGGTCTCTTAGAGGACGAACCCTATCAACTCATTAACTTTTCTAGCTATTGATAGGTATAATTTACATACATTCTTATTTTACTTTGCTGACCAGATGGGGGAAACAAAAAATAACAAACTGAATAGAAATTTACCATCATTAACTTTCCCCCTAAAAGCAAATTTGAAAAGAAAAATATTCCCATTTGGTTTTACAGGAAAAACAATGGAAGGACACACTAATAACATCTCCCTTCCTGACTTTTCAGCTCTGAGAGAAAATCAGTATTTTTAGGACTAGGGAGAGCAAATCAGGAGCCATCAGGAAGGCAACTTTATTGTCCCTGGACAGTTGCCTTCTTATTAGTTTGAAAACAAAAAGCAAAGCCAAGGCATAAATAAAGGGAAAGACAATTCACAGAGTGGAGAAAAAAACTGAAATTCATGTATTCCACATGGGACTTGCATCCAGAGTGTATATATATCTATATGTATATTATGTGCATGTGTATATATGTGTGTACTCTTACAACTCAACCAATAAATACAATTAAGAAACATACAAAGAAAAAAATGGGTAAAGGATTTAACAGACATTTCTCCACAAAAGATACACAAATGGCCAATAAGCACATGAAAAGGTGTTCAACGTCATTAGTATTATGCAAAATCAAAACCACAATGAAATATCACTTTATATCCACCAAGAAGGCTAAAATAAAAAACACAGTGTAATAAGTGTTGGTGAGGATGTGAAGAAACTGGGTGGCTCAGGTCATGATCTCAGGATTGTGAGATCAACCTTAGAATTCTTTCTCTCCTGTCCCTCCCCCTCTCGCTCACTCTCTCTCAAAAAAGAAAAGGAAAAAAAAGTAAATTTAAAACAAATTACTGCAGGAATGCAGAAAAGAATTGTTTTCTGGATCGAGATTCTATACAAAATTACTTCCCAATTCAAAAACCTGTGAGGTGGCTGGGATTAGAGAAAGCATTAGTTTTCCAGGCTTACTGGTTAGGGAGAAACAACTGTAAATAGATTAACAATATTCTATTACTAGGAGCCATGCAAAAAACTTATGTATCATGTTCAGTAATGGCAGCCTCTGTACTTCCTTATGTGGCCTGCTATAAAATATTCTAACTTATAAAGATCAGGATATAGCAGGGATGAATAAAATATATAAATACTCCTTAAACTTCATTCTACCAGTTATTTTACTCCGGTATACTTAAAAGCTAAGCCAAACTGGTTCAAATGCTGTCATTTATTTCCTTTGTGCACCCTCCAGTGGGCATACTGATGTGCAAAGAAATGAAGATATAGTAAAACAAACAAACAACAAAAAAAAAAAAACCCAAAAAACAAAAAACCAAGAAAGAGTAAGTTTCCAAAGAGAGCACAAATCTGGGTAGACCACTATTATCTGAATGTGTATCCACTGTTCTTTTTACATATTTAAATGCCTAGTCATAAAAATTATACAAGGCTTCAGGGTTAGAAAATCAAAGTCAAACTAATGTATCAAATATAAACTTTTTAAAATGTAACTTACTTTTGTAGTGGGCTCTGGCTTTGAGCCATAAACAACTCCTTCCTAAAGAAGTAATTAATCTTCTAAGAAAGGAGAAGTCAATAGGGATGTTCTTTGAAATCATGAATTCTGCTACAGAGGATGACATACCAAGACTGTTGCTTTCTATACAGGCATCCAGAAGTTTATTAAAGAGAAGGCTATACTGTGAGACCTCCACAGTTTCTGGGGGGGGAAAAAAAGGGTATAATGAAATCGATTTTAGTCTCTCCATCTTCTCTCTCTCACTACTTTTCCTTTCTCTCTGTTCCCCTTGGCACTTTGCTTCCCACTATGGGAGTCAGAGTCACTAAAATGCAATCATCTTATAGACTAAGAAACAAATAAGCATTCAACAAAAGCAAACACATTCATTTACTTTGTAACAAAGAATAAGAAAGGAAGCTTGACAATTATTGCAGAGGCTGCATTAACACCCATTTGTGATCCCACATGTGTCTGCATCTGCAGTGTCTCAAAATGAATGACTTGCACAGTTCTGCTTGCATTGTCTACAGTTAAGACCTCAGACTTAATTTCCCATGACTAAAAATAAATCACCCCCTAATATTCTCTCTCAAAAACAAATCTTTCGTTAGGTATTTCTAGTTCAATTCCTCACTTAGAAGAAAGTGAAGTCACTGCCAGTCTTTTATTCCCTATATTTAGTCAGTTCAATCTATAACCTAGACTCTGGTCTTTAATATTTGCAGCATCCTTTAGTGATTCAGGCCTTAGCAGGAAATTAATCTCCTTACCTTTTCGTCTCTTCCTGAACATCTCTACCAGTGGAACTTCCCTGACTGATAAAGCATTGTGGGATGCCCTTGGGTTAACATTCTGATGAAGTGGTAACCTGCCACTCTGAACCTATCACTCAGCTCATTTTGACCCAAAGCTTTTGCTCATGCTTCCCTTAACATGGACTCTCTTCCTATTCATATAAAACCTGAGTGTTAGGATTCAAGAGCACTATCTACTATTGCCCACATTAATATTCCCTTTCTTTGAATTTGTCATTTGTTAATTTCCTCCAATTATTCCATGTTTCCCTATGTTCCAAGGTAATGGAAACTAAAATCTATATTTATATATAGTAAGTAATAGAAAAAGTATTCATTATTCTAATACAATGAATTTTGACCACATAAAGCTTGCTGTGGGCATTACTGTTTGCTGCTGACCTGACAGGTAGGGAAAGGGGATTGATGAAAACAGTTGGGAAATGCCGACAACCCAAAGGTAAGCACCCCTGCTTTAAAAAAATAAAAATCAGAAAAGCATATTCAATTTTCAGAGAACAGATTTGCAGAAAACAGTATCATTAAAAATATATGTTGAGCCAAAACAGGTGCAGAACTGTTTCTTCTTTAAACATCAGATGGAGATGCCTGGGTTCTCAGTCAGTTGAGTGTCTGCCTTTGGCTCAGGTCATGATCCCAGGGTCCTGGGATGGAGTCCTGTGTTGGGCTCCTTGCTTGGTGGGGAGTCTGCTTCTCCCTCTGCCTGCCCCTCCCTGCTTGTGCTCTTTCTCTCTCTCTAATAAATAAAGAAAATCTTAAAAAATTAAAAAAAAAAAAACCAGATGGACAATAGATTAATTGAAACTTTTGAAACAACAGATTCATTGAAACATACCTTGAGAATTTTGAAAACCTGGTAGATTTTGCAAAACTTCAAATGTCTGTCTATAAAGGCTCTTGGCTAAGATTTCATGTGCAATTGTACAGAGCAGATTATGTCGATTGAGTACATCCAGTCTATCACAAGGCCACAGTGGTGTATTGATGATCCATTCTGACTCTTCCAAAAAGAGAAAGGTACTAATACTTTTACTACAGAAATTACACTTAACAGTATAATCACAACTGTTTTCAAATATGTTAAGCATCAAAACTTAAGTATGTGTTCAGAAAAGATAACAATGACTCAAATTCATTAAAAACAACTTATATAGTGATGATCACCATCCTAAGGAGATGCAAACTAATGAGCACTTTGTTATATGTATTTTTTAATTCTTCATTTTTCTAAGTGTACAAATCAGTTATTGATTCTGAAGTTAATGTTTATTTTTGCATGACAATGTTTTGACTATAGTGAATATTTGTTATAATGTAAAATATTATTTGTGTGGACAAGTTTAACAACTTTACAATAAAGAATACATAATTTAGGGGCCCCTGGGTGGCTCATTCGGTTAAGCTTCCATCTCTCTTGATTTCAGCTCAGATCATAATCTCTAGGTCAAGAGATCAAGCCCTACACTGGGCTCTGCACTCAGTGTTGAGTTGGCTTGAGATTCTCTCCTTTCCCCCTACCCCTTTCCCTGCTCGCACACACACTCTCTCTCTCAAATAAATAAGGGGAACCTGGGTGACACAATCAAGTTAAGCATCATACTCTTGGATTCAGCTCAGTTTGTGATCTTAGGGACATGAGACTGAGCTCTATGTCAGGCTCCACAATCAGTGTGGAGCATGCTAACATTTCTCCCTCTGCCCCTTCAACACTTGAGTGGTCTCTATCTCTCTAAAATAAATAAGCCTTTAAAAAATAAAATACATAAATAAAATCTTTTAAAAAACACATAATTTAATTAGTTATTTTGGAGAACAGGTTTTCCCACCAATTTCTTAAACAATTTTTATTATAAAATATTTTATATGTACACAAGAATATCTAATGTACATAAGTTATAAAAACATAATAAAGTTTTATGTACCTTTCATTCAGCTTTAAAAAAAGAATATTACCTATAGTTGCTGAGGTTCCTTGATTTCTGCCCTGATTTGCATATCAAAAGCAATAGGAGACTGTAATACAGAACACTGAGGTGCTAAAACATTAGATATGTCAGTATTTTATCATTTACCTAATTCCCTCAATCATCATACACAAGATACATAAATGAAACATTGTTATATAACAAATCACATTTCCATGTTCTTTTTAAACCGGACTAAGTACAGGAGACATTTTTCCTTTGTGACCTTCCCAGCACAATAAATACAAAAGGTATTAAAGATTTGGCAATTCACGTATACAATGCCAAAATAAAGCCTTAATTGTCCAGTATAACTTAAAACAGGAGCTTATTGTTAAATTACTAGAGCCCACTTGATTGACCGATTGCTTGACTTGCTTTATAGTATGTGCTAGGCAATGTTTTACAAATATTGGTGTTAATTTAAACAGATACTTTCATTACTCCCAAATTTGCTTAAATTTTACTATATCAAGAAATTTAGATGAACTTATCTTCTGAAAGACTACCTAAATCATCTGTTGAACATAATTCTCATTTCCTCCCAATAATTCCCCAAAATAAAACCACTAAATCACCATTCCTTACAAACTGAATTTTATTTTTATCAAATAAGTTCAATTATTTTTTGTTAAACATATATCTGGTAGATATGTCATATTTATAAAAAGTAGACTACTATGTGGTCTTTTCTCATAACAATTACATTGTTCTTCATTTAGTACTCATTTTTAAATTATTAAGGTAGAATAATGGTCCCTTTTTTGAAAGAATAGATGGTATTTTAGGAGATTCATTTTGAAATCTTAAACTGTGTAGCTATCTTAAAGAATCTGAGTAAGTTGGTCATTTTATGTACCTAAGTTAACTGGTAATTGGGAAGACTGGTAATTGGGAAGTCATTTGGAAATTAACAGCTTTTAACTAATCCACCCCATTCATGACTCTATCACTTTTATGAATATTTTATAAGAACTCTTATGAGAGGGCCCCTGGGTGCCTCAGTCAGTTAAGCGTCTGCCTTCCACTCAGGTCATGATCCCAGAGTCTTGGGATCAAGTCCCCATGTCAGGCTCCCTGCTCAGTGGGGAGTCTGCTTCTCTGCCCCTCGCCTGGCTGGTGCTTTCTTCCTCTCTCTCTTACTAACTCACTCTCTCTCTCTAATAATAAAAAAAAAAATTTAAATCTTTTAAAAAAAAAAAAGGACTCTTATGAGAATTAAATTTTCAAAAACAAAACCAGTTTACTTGTGTAAATACTAGGCTTATGGTAGTAAAAGTTCTCATTGCATTAACCCTGTTTTTCTCTGTTCCACAGTTAGGAATATTTTCCATTTGTCTAAAAAATCTGAGTCAAAGGGCAAGTAAATTTTCTATAATATCAATTCTTTATCTATTTACCTTCCAACATATGCATATTTAATCATTACTCATGCAAGATTTTGAATATAGGGCACTAAGAATATAAAGACTATTATGGTCTGCAGAAAATGAATCTCCAGGCTAGTCAGTGAGATTACCAAATTACTACTCTTTACCATAGTGAATAATGCATATACCATAAGGAATATCTAAAGATACCTTCCCCCTTTAATATATACATTTATTATAATCCCAATCAAATTTTCCTACAGAACTATATGAAAAACTGACTCAGTAACTCTGAAATTCATCCAAAAGAATAAGCACTTGAGAATGTAAATAATAGTTTTGGAAGAGAAGTTTGCCTAAATAGATATTATCACATATTCTAAAACCAACTAAAAAGAGTTTGGTGCTGCCACAGAAACAGAAATCCCTGGGAGAGAAAGCTAGTACAGAAATAGACATAAGCAGACACAAGATTCTAACATAAGGTAAAAGTGGCATTTCAAATAAGTGAATAAAGGGCGAGTTGTGACATTTTGGGGAAATAAAATTACATTCCTACCTCATATCAAAATTTAAATCTGGTAATGAAACCAAAATTTTGAAAAACATAGGGTAAATATATAATTTTGAGATCGCTAAGGACTACCTAAAGCATGATACAAAACAAAAATTAGGAGTAATTTAAAAAGCAGAAACAGACCCACAAATATTGAGAATAAACTGCAGTGGACAGGGAATAAACAAAATAGGTCAAGGAGAGTGGGAGATAAAGGCTTCTAGTTATGAAACGAATAAGTCATGGGAATAAAAGATATAGCACAGGGAATATAGCCAATGGTGTTCTTTTTTTTTTATTTTAAGATTTTATTTATTTGACAGAGATACAGCAAGAAAGGGAACACAATGTGCAGGGGGAGGGGGAGAGGGTGAAGCAGGCTTCTGGCTGAGCAGGGATCCTGATGCGGGGCTCAATCCCAGGACCCTGAGATCATGACCTGAGCTGAAGGCAGACGTTTAACAACTGAGCCACCCAGGCGCCCCTAGTCAAAGGTATTCTAATAGCACTGTACGGTGATAGATGCTAGCTATACTTGTAGTGAACATAAACATAATGTATAGGGATGTTGAGTCACTATGTTGTACACTTGAAACTAATGTAATATAGTGTGTCGGGTATACTAAAAAAAGGAATATTTAAAAAGTTAAAAGTTATACCAAAAAAAATACTAAAAAGATAAAAAGCAGTTTATGTTTAAGTAGAAAAAGGCCAGATGGGCAAAAGAAAAACAAAAATGCAAAAATATCATAAAGTTAAAGGAAAATGAAAAACTAAGAAAAATATTTGCAAATATCCCAACAGATCAAGGACTAATATCTTTAATGTTAATTAAGGCTAGTCAGTGAGATTATCAAATAACTATATCATTAATTAATAACAATATTACTAAGAAAGAACTCTCATAATATTAAGGGGCATAACTTACAGTACGGTATTTCCTAAGTGTGATAAATATGCATCACTGATTTAAGTACCTGACTGTTAGTTACATAATTTTAGTAATTTATTTGTGTATTACAAAAATTATAAAAATAAAAAAGCACATTAAGTATAAAAAACAGATTAAACTGGTGATTTCATGGGAATTATTGTTCAGGATGAGCCCAGGCTGGTTGATTTACTTTAAAATAATATTCATATTTTGGGGGGCCTGGGTGGCTCATTTGGTTAAGCATCCAACTCTTGATTTCGGCGAGTCTGCTTGAGATTTCGCTCTCTCCTTCTCCGTCTGCCCCTCCCCCCCCCTCACATGCACTCTCTCTAAAATAAATCTTTAAAAAAATGTTTATTTTTAAAATATAAATGGTCGCTACAGAAAGTTAAAGCAAAACAAAGTACAAAGAAAAAATTAACAAAAACCTAATCCATCACTGAAAATGACCAGTGGTCATATTTGATGAAAATTATTTGGGAAGGAGGTGTTAATGACCTAAATAGTGGCTATGCTTACATAGGTAGATACAAGTGAAACTGTTATATGAAAACAGAGACTGAAGAAGATGGCCTGGCCTAACACAACATTGTGCTGAACAGAGCCTTCCAATGATTGAAAATGAAGATGATACAGTTTTTGTAAATATTAACATTGTTTATATGCTTATATTAGTACTGCAATAACGGTCACTGGTCTAGGTATTCAGGCTAACCTGTATGCTAAATGCAGAAAGATTAACACTTTTCTAAACAAACCAAAAGAAACACACACACACACACACACACACACACACACACACACACACATGCTTTAAACTATTCTAGTCTACAGCAACAGAGATGGACGTTGAGAGCATTATGCTAGGGGAAATAAGAGAAAAAGAGAAAGACAAATACTGTATGATCTCACTTACATGTGGAATCTTAAAAAAACACAAACTCCTAGGGCTGCCTGGGTGACTCAGCTGGTTAAGCATCTGTCTTTGGCTCAGGTCATGATCCCTGGGTCCTAGGATCAAGCCACATCAGGCTCCCTGCTCACTGGTATGTCTGGTTCTCCCTTTCCCTCCCCCTCTGCCCCTCCCCCTTGTGCTTATGCACTTTCTCTCACATAAATAAAATCTTTAAACACACACACACACACACACGCACGCACGCGCGCACACACACACAT